CTTGCAGTCAATGCTGACCCCAATACCCCAGTGTGGCACTAAGGGGTGCTGTGCTGCAGGGAGCAGGGAAGAGTCTCTGTAGGGGGCGCTGATCCTTTCACCCTTTGTCTCTTTGGATGGGGCCTGCAGGGGACGATGCAAAAGATCTGCACCGAGATACTGCAGGGGCAGACGGGGCAGGCGTTCGGGCGCTTTGGGGCCAGCATGTCTGAAATCGGGGACATCAGCGGGGACAGACAGATGGACGTGGCCATCGGGGCTCCCATGGAGAATGACAATCGCGGGGCCTTGTACATCTTCCATGGGGGAAATAGAGGCCTCAGTCCCCAGTACAGACAGGTGAGCCCCGAAGAGACACCATGGGGCCCCATGGCCCTCTAGTGCATATTAACGTTTAGCCGCCTCCTTCCCATCCCTCATCCTCTGCTGCCCCCTACTGCCCATTATACAGTACAGCCACCCCTTCCCCACCCCTTACTACTCTCTCTGCCCCACAGCGCATAGAGGGGTCACAGTTCCCCAGCGGGCTGCACTACTTTGGCCAGGCCGTTAGTGGCGGGACAGACCTGACGTGGGATGGGCTGCCAGACATCGCAGTGGGGGCACAAGGGCAGGTCCTGCTGCTGAGGTGAGTTACTCTGTGTCGTTGCACTGCTCCACATGGCAATCACAGACAGCGACAGTACATGGTGGGCGTGTGTGTGTGTGCTGCCCACTGCTGGAAAACGGTAAGGGCAGAAACCCCAAATTGGCTGTGTGCTCTATAATTAGATTTCACCACCCAAGTTAGAAGTATGAACTCCTTAGGCACTATAACAACCTCGCCATGGCGTCCCAGAGAGCCCCTCCAGGCATTCTGGTCTATTTTGCCACCCAGATAAGCTTGCCTGTGTGATAGATGGTCCCTTACACCAAAAACCACAACAATATTCAGATTACTCCCTGCCCCAAAGGACCGGTCACTTACCCCAGAGCAATTGTATGTCAGATCTCAAACCTAAGGCCATGCTGGTAGCCAATCCTGTAATAAACTAGCTAAAGATCTGTTAACTAAGAAAAAGAAATGAGTTATTTATACTGTTAAAGCAGGTAACATACACATGCAAATGAGTTACCGTCTTTGATTCCAAAAGATAAGAGAATCTTCTGTAATAAGCAAACTCCATATGTCCTTTAGGGTAACCCAGACTAAGCAGCTGGGAGTCTTTTGCTTATGCCGAGTGATTCTTGCTCTTTTAGAGTCCAAGTGGCACAAAGACAACAAGTTTCTCCTTGTCAAGGATTTGGATCCCCTTCTCCCCAGAGCCCATGCAGATGGGACAAGTTCGTGCGTAGGGTTTCTCTCCCTAGAGGGGGTGAGAAATGCAATTAACCACGTCTCTGTTCCTCCATGTCTCACAATGGCTCATCTGGTCTCAATGGCCTTCTCCTTTGGCAGGAGCCAACCCTTTCTGTAGGAAGCCAGCGTTTGCATTAGGGAAGTCTCTTTCCCTGTTTGAGTTACACAGTTACAAAGGTTTAAAAGGCTGTGAGCACATCCAGGCTGGGTGGGAGGCTCTGGAGGGGAAGGAGGCCTGGCCCCATTGCAGAGAGCAGCTGGGTGATGGTTCTGTTCCCCCCCATGGCAGGTCCCGGCCTGTGCTCAAAGTCAAGGTCTCCATGAGCTTCCAGCCCCCAACCATCCCCACCTCAGCCTTCGAATGCCAGGGGCAGGAGCAGCTCAACACGGAGGCCAGCAGAGCAGAGGTCTGCTTCACCATCACTAAGAGCACCATGGACAGCCTAGGTCAGACCAAACCCATCTCCCCTCCCCCGTGAGCCAGTCCCCTGCCCTGGGGATGGATCGGAGCCAGCGCCCCCTAGAGGGGAAAGGCCCCATGTCCCATTTCCCCTTGAGGTTCCCACTGTGTCTCTCTGTCCCTTGTTTCCCCTCCCCTGTAGGCGACAGGATCTCCAGCACCATCCAATACAGCCTGGCCCTGGACCCCGGGTGGACGAAGATCCGAGCTGCCTTCGACTCCACCGGCCCCGTCCTGAGCAAGGACCTGCGGCTCGGCATTGAGAAGAAATGTGAGACGTATCAGATAACGTTACCTGTGAGTGCTGGGGGGTCCCGGCTCCTTCCCCTCCCACTGTGTCTGCCCCTTGCTCCCAAATCACCCAGAGAACAAACCTCTCTCTGGGTCCCACCCAGCTCCCATTACCCTTCAGGAGCCCGACGTGTCTCTCTGTCTCCCCAGCTCTGCCCAGAGGACACCGTGACCCCCATCACCCTGCGCCTCAACTACACCCTGATGGGGGACCCCATCGCTGCCGCCAACCGCCTCAGACCCATCCTGAGCGAGGACTCTGAGCTGGTTTCTGCAGGTTCGGTAAGGTGCCAGAGCCAGGCCCTGAGGTGGTTCTGCTGCAGGGATCGAACCAGTGACCGTGTGAAAGCAAGAGTCTGGAAAATTCAGAGGCAGCAGCAGCCTCCTAAACCCCTTTACACAGTGCAGCCACTAGAGGGAGACAGAGGTGGATGCTGAGTTTGTCTTGGCGATGAACCCATCTCTCCTCCATGGGAACATTCCAACTTCTCCTCAAAGCTCCCAAAATATCCATGTCTAAAAAAAAATTGAAAAATGTTCATCAAAAATCAAATTTTATTTTGGCCAGGGCCCCCTAGAGGGGGAAGTCCCCATGCCCTGTTCCCCATCCCCCTGAGCCAACCAGTCCCCCTGCCCTGGCACCGCTAGAAGTGTGATACTGCTGCTTGCCAGAGGGGGAGGCGGAAGAGGGATTGTATGTGGGGGGGCAGGTGCAGGGCTGATGATGGTGTGACGGTATTCTGGGGGTGCAGCCTGGGACTGTGGGACTGTTGTGCCCACTTAGCCCTCCAGCCTGGGCTGTCTCTCACAATGCTTTGCTAGTGACAAGCAGCAAACTCCTGCAGGCACTGTGATCACTCAGCACAACTGCATGTGGAGCCCCACACCCAGTTAGATTGCCCGAACAGTCCCAGAGCCACTCACGAATCACACACACAGAAAGGCACCAGCCAAATCCCCCCAGCTCCCAGCCTTGCACCTCAGGAATATACCATCTCGCACTGCTCAAGATGAGCAATGAAATTGTATTAATTGGTTCACCACTTCATCAATGGAAAGTGGACATACCCCAGCCTTTGTAACCTGAGCAGATTTACCAAACACTGCAGGCAAATTCACTGGTAAAGATAAACAGCTAAACAAATTCATTGACTACAAAAGAGAGATTTTAAGTGATTATAAGTGATAGGCAAAATGTCAGAGTTAGTTACCAAAGGAAAAGAAAATATAAGCACGGAGTCTATACTCTCAACTCTATTTGACTGGGCAACATCTAGATTAAGCAGTTTTTCTCCCCCACTGGATAGTGCAGTTCATAGTACACAGGTTTCACCCTTGAAGCCTGGACCAGTCCCCTCTGTTGGAGTCTTCAGTCTTCTGAGCGTCCTTGTTGCTTGCAGCATAGGCGGGGGCAGGAGAAAGGCCCGGTATGGGGCCCCTGTGTTCTGTTCTATACCCTTACTTGCCCCAAGCAGCAGGTTTACCTGAAAGCAGCTAACAGAAGTGTTCCTGTCTTTAACACTCAGATGTCCAATGGGGTCTAAACCCAAATAAATCCGTTTTACCCTGTATAAAACATATGCAGGGTAAACTCATAAATTGTTCGCCCTCTATAACACTGATAGAGAGAGATGCACAGTTGTTTGCTCCCCCAGGTATTAATACATACTGAGTAAATTAATAAGTAAAAAGTGATTTTATTAAATACAGTAAGTAGGATTTAAGTGGTTCCAAGTAGTAACAGACAGAACAAAGTAAGTCACCAAGCAAAATAAAATAAAATAAAATGCACAAATCTATGTCTACTCAAACTGAATACAGATAAGATCCTCACCAGTTCCCGAATGCTCCCTTTTACAGGCTAATCTCCCTTTAGCCTGGGTCCAGCAATCACTCACATCTGTTGCAGTCACTGCCCTTTGTTCCAGTTTCTTCCAAGTATCCTGGGGGGTGGAGATACTCTCTCTTTAGCCAGCTGAAGACAAAATGGAGGGGTCTTCCAGGGGTTTAAATAGACTTTCTCTTGTGGATGGAGACCCCCTTCTCACTCCTATGCAAAGTCCAGCTCCAAGATGGAGTTCTGGAGTCACTGGGCAAGTCACGTGTCCATGTATGACTCGCAGTCTTTATAGGCCGAAGCCATTGTCCACATGGTATCTTGTATGTCTCCAGGAAGACTTCTCATGTGGATTGGAGCATTCCAAGATGCATTGTTCCCCAAGTGCTTCCTGATCGGGTACTAAACTTTGCGAATTCCTTCCTAAGAAGCTGACCAAATGCCTCACAAAGCTTACTTAGAAATCAAGCCAGTACACAGCCAATATTCTCAACCTGAAGTACAGAATGATATAAGTGTACAAATAAGATGAATAGATACAGTAGACCATTACCTTTAGAGCTATGTTACATGGCACAGGCAGCACACAACATATTCCAGTTATGTCATATTCCCATAAAGCATTATGGGGTACAGCATCACACACGGTGCTCCCCCAAGATGTAGAATGTCACAGATGGGTTTAGTTGTCCCCCGGTGCAGGGTCCCTGCATTGTCGCTCTAGCAGGTGGTGCTGCAGCCCCTTCCCTACCCACACTGATCCTGCTCTCCTGGGTCTCCCCCCAGCTCCCGTTTCAGAAGGATTGCGGCACAGATGGCCGCTGCAATGACCAGTTAGAAATCTCCTTCAATTTCTCTGGGTAAGTCACTGAATCCTCCTCCCCAAAACACCTACCACGGTGGGACCCGTCCGGCATGATCACACCTCGGATGTTCAACATCCAGCTGGAGATTTTGCCAGACTTCCAGTGCTGATGGATCCTGGGCTGGGGGCCCTGCTGTGGGGAAGATTCACCACTGGGTTTCCAGGCTGTGCACTGTTATGGGAAGCTCACAGCAGTGGAGTTCCCAGTTGGGCACTGTTATAGGACACTCTCAGCACTGGGGTCCCTGGCTGGGCACCACTAGAGGAAATTTGAGGAGCGGCCACGGCACTGCCTGGAGGAAGCTCAGCCCTTTCTCTCCCCTTAGCTTGAGCACCCTGGTGGTGGGGGTCACCCCCGAACTCAACACCACCGTCTCCATCCAGAGCCGTGGGGAGAATTCCTACAGCACCAGGGTGCAGTTCTTCTACCCGGCCACGCTGTCCTATCGCCGGGTCCTGCTACTCCAAGTACCCCAACGTGGGGCAGGCTCGGCAGGGGGCGCTGTGCTGCAGGGAGCTGGTGGGGGCTCAGCAGGGGGCACTGTGCTGCAGGGAGCTGGTGGGGCTCAGCAGGGGGCACTGTGCTGCAGGGAGCTGGT